AAATTATGCATGTTTTACATTAGGTACCCTGACAAAGGCCGGATGACAACTACTGTAGGAACCCAAACGGACGCCACAACCCCTGGTGCTTTACAACGGACCCAAACACACCCTGGGAGTACTGCGACATCAAGTTTGTGGTAAACGTGCATGAATGTTTCTTTGAGAGTGGTTGAATGGCATGCACGTTAAGCTGCAGTCTTAACATGCATATCTGGGGTGGCTGTGTTTGTGTTCTGTACGGGACCATCAAGTGTGACTGACGGCACCAGCATTTACGACTTCCTGTATCTTTCATTTTACCATTCCTCCAACTTTCATTGGCTGAAACTATGGAAAAGACACACAGGCACATTCAAACACTCAGTGACCCATCTTTGGTTTGACATTGTTATGTCTTCTCTAATAGCCAGAATGTTTATGTCCCCCCCCCCCCCCAGCGCCACTGAACTGCTGTTTATTGTTCTATGCCAGCTCTTATGTATGGTGGTCGTACTGCACCGGGCTCAGTTACTCCTCCACATTAACCTCCTGCACATGCAGACACAACACCAAGGTCACGCATATTACAAGCATCACTTTCAGTAAATCTCTTTCGTAAGCAGTGTGATTGATTTATTGGAGCGAGGTGTGTATGTCACGTCTTTTTGTGTCTACGCTTATGTATAATCTATAGTGCATCATGCTCTTTGTTGACCTATAATCAAGGACGAGTCTCTGAGACAGACGCTGTGGTCCTAAAGAACATAAAACAGAGCGAGCATTCGTGTTATTGTTGGGCTCAGATTCTTTTCTCCCAGTTTGTGATTGTCTGTTTTTCCTGCTAAAGTCATCAACAGTCCTGGCACCGTGTTTACTAGATGGCCTTCTTCCATGTGGACCCAGTGATTCAATGTTCCCCTCTTCAATTTCCTTTGTCTAAAATCTTCCTCTCTCTGACTCCCTAGTATAGGAGTTTGTTGAGAACAGACCAAGTTTACGACCCAGTTAGTCTTAATCCAAAAAGGCACAGAAGAGAGTGAAAATGTTTTTTTGTCAAGGCCTGCTTTTTTGTTTACTGGCAACAGTAGTGCATATCTATTTTTAGACATATTGTATGGGCAGAAAATGTCTGTTTTTGAGTCTTGAAGATCTGCAGCTTTGCACATTGTTGGATACAATCATGCACATTTTCAGGCTATCGAACTGGTGTAGCTTGTGCGTAATGAGGAGCTCTTCTATAAGAGTAGTAGAGCCGATAACATTTTCCACATTTTTGGCTTTTCCAATTTGGTCCATATCAGCCTCATTACACGGTCAGTCCTCTAAATACGTTGAGGAGGCTCTTTGGGAGGAAAGCAAGAAAATGTGTAGTGTGCATAGTGTTACAGTCACGTTCGCCTCCAGTTCTTTCTGCATTTCACGGTCGCTCACAGTTCTTCATCCCCCCTTTAAAAAAGAATTAGGTTTTTATTCAACTGCATGGTGAGAAAATACAGAAATAAAGCTGTTTTTTCAGGAGTTGAAACTTAACAAGATCTACTTGGATAACTACCTAAATACCTTAATTGAGCTATTTGTCCTATCTGTGCGTTCACGTTCATTCAGTAATTAAATACAACACGCACTATATTACCTTTTTCAAAGTAACTCACACCTGAATATTGTTCTGCTGTTTCACAGAAACGTCTCCAAAAAGAAATGTGGTGGAAACCACTGAGTGTTACCAGGGCAGAGGAGAGGGCTATCGGGGGACAGTAGACGTGATGCCCCCGGCTCATCTGCCAACGCTGGGACTCTCAGTATCCCCACAACCACACGTTCACACCTCAAGCCTACCCCTGCAAGTGAGTCGGACTCGCGCAGAAGACAGCATCTCCGCTCGCTCGCCCGCCTGCACGCACGTGCATTTAAGAGATCCCTGGACGACTTTTGTCTGTGTCTTCCAGAGACTTGAGAGAGAACTACTGTCGGAATCCAGATGGCCGAGAATTCCCGTGGTGCTTCACTACGGACCCAAGAGTCCAAACCATGTTCTGCAACAACATCCCGCGGTGCGGCACCCAAACAATCCAGTCAGTGGTGAGAGACGCGAAAGCTTTATTTCACATTTAAGAGAGAGAGATGATTTTCAGTGAATCCCATGTTTTTATATTTTGTAGATGAGTTCACATGAGACCTTGTGAGTACTAATATTGGCCTGTAACCATGTATTCTCTGTCCCGGCGGAGCACTGCAGCCCCATAGGTCTGTGGGAATGACTGACCACCTAGTCTCACATAAACGCTCTGACAGCAGCTCGGATTGTCAGGTCTCACTGGACAGTGAAAGATTGAGTGGGAGGATTAGTGCTGGATGGGATTTTCTGGGGTAATGAGATTTAGTGAAATATGTAGATCTAACAGTGAGTAGAAAAAAATGTCCCTCGGATCTTAGCGGCATATCTTTTAGAGTATGCGGCCTTGCATTGGATTAAAATCCCCTTGTGTTGCGGTCTACTCTGGTGGATAGAATACGTTCCCATAATGAAATGAGATGCGGGGTGACTTCAAAACTCTATTTATGAGCCGTCTATTTCTAAGGAATCACTGTGAACTTTATGTTCCCAGTCCGTTCATTCTTGATCCAATGACGACCATCGTTTTGAAGTGACGTCAATTAAATATGAGGTGCTGCACAGGCGCATCGGCTCTGTACTGCATCTGTTGGATGAGTATAACTGTTCATTACTTATTACTTACTCATTATATAACTTTCACTATTCACTTTTATTTCTATCAACAACATGGTAATAATGCGACAAGAATGAAACAATGTCCTAAATATATGTTATAGCTTTTTATATTTTACTACAAAAATTGCTATATATGTATATAATGTGTACAAATGTGGCAGAAATTTCAACTTTTTTTTTCCCACCCAAATGTCATCAGATGTGACCTCACAAAACAGCATGAATGAAGGATCTAAGTGGTGATGTTAACAATTTTCCACAAACATACTAATACAGCATGAAGGTAAAGTGATAAGATTTGGGATTAAGATGTATGTATGTATGTTTGACTGATTGGTATGCATTGTCTGATTTTAATTGTCTTTTTTTTGGTCCAAATCCAGACTGCTATGAAGGCTTTGGGGAGAATTACCAAGGAGAGCAGTCAAGGACGAGATCAAACCTGCCCTGCGCACTTGGAGAGACCGTAACAACAGGTCAGCCCACTGGATACCTGCTTCTTTCTAACCTAATCAACCCCAGACAAGTGCGTCGGCCTAAAACAGACATCCAGGCTCTAGTACATGTAACCAACGAGAAGAGTCTAACACAGTATACAGGTTATTTAAAGCTCAATGGGATCAAAAGGAAATCAGTGATAATGGGCAGACAATTCCCGTTTTATTGTCTCAGTAATTCCTTAGCTCTTTGTGTTACAAGATAGTGCATCACAGCCTACGTACAGAAGAATTTGGCCATGTTTCTGGGAATCATATGGAACCTGAGACGTGGTGGTAGTGCAAGAGGCCTCTATTACATCTTAATGTCGTTGTTAGCAGGTCAAGTCAGGAGAAAATGGCTCCTGCGGGTTCCATCACTAAACCTCTCCACCATCTTCTAATGGCCCATATAAGTGTTTCTCCAAATATGACCTAACTCTGCAGGAATGACTCAGAGTGATAACTTGGCAGGGTATATTCACTTCAGTCCCTCACCTTTGAACCAAACCCCTCCTTTTGTCGGAACCCTTCAAAGCCAATTAGCTCCACTGCTTGGCTCCTGCCCAGCGTCAGAAGTCAGGGTGAGGGGTCACACGGAGAGCCTGCTGTTATGCTAGCTGCTGGAAAACAACACACATTGGAGCGCTGTGGTTTGGTAACACGGCATCCTTCTCCTATATATCTGTTTGTTTTACAATCCTCCACCTTATCGGTCAACAGGTTCAGTGTGGGAAAAGAGTTCTGTTGGTGGAAAATGCTTATGTGCATACTCTCATGTAAGGGGTGTGTCTGTATTCAATGTGTGAGTGTAGTGGGTGCAAGCTGTCTCAGTGAATAATCCTTTGCAAATGACCTCTTTATCTTGTCTAGATGGACAGAGTTTATACAGCTGTGTAGTTTGACTGTTCAGATCCTATCTAGCAAAATGTGTTCATTTTCACTAATGGTTATAAATCACCACAAATCCCTTTACTTTCGTTAAAAGCCAGATTATCGACTCCATAATGGGGAAGTGGTCCTTTTGTTTTGAATATGTTCTTTTGGGAGATGAGTTATTGGATCTTGTGTGTTTGGGTGCTGTCCAGCGGCGAGAGGGGCGTGCAGATAGGCGGCCTGGAGGGAAGCTACTGCCGAAACCCAGACAAAGACAAGCATGGTCCCTGGTGTTACACCAACAACTCTGCCAGTCCCTGGGACTACTGTCATATCAAACCATGTGAGTGCAACAAGGGAGTGTGTGCAAGTGACACGTCACACACAATCTCATATCGGGTCAGTGAAAAGAAATTGAGTGTGTAGATATGTTTAGCAGGTCAGTGTTGGTCAGAAGGGGATTCACAACTCATCAAAAAAACGGGGGATGGGCTCCTTCTAGCAATTCCTACACAGACCAAAAGCCAGAGCTAACGAGGGCCCTCATAGGCAGTCTGAAGTCTACATTCCTCCGCAAGGTCATCTCATTTATGGCATTAGTTAACACTCCCTTATCCCTTGTTTGTCTCCTTTACATTCTGCAGGTGAAGGTTTGCAGATCAACATCCCACCGGTGGAGTGGCTTCGTCTGCTCGTCTGTGTGTCCGTGTTTACGAGCTGCTCAGCCTCTGATACGTATTTTGATAGTCTCCAAGGCCAGTAGGGGCGCTCTCAGAACCCCCGTGGCGTCCCTTTTATATGCAGCTATTATAGAACGTATACGTGGTGAAGGTGTTTTCTGTGTGTGTTGTGTGTGTGTGTGTGTGTGTGTGTGGTGTGTGTGTGTGTGTGTGTTGGTGTGTGTGTGTGGTGGCGTCTATAAGAGTCTGTGTGTGTTAGTGGCTGTATGTGTTGGACCTATTTTGCTGCACATAATAAGTCAAGAACAGACGATAAACCCTTCAACCTCTTGACATTTAGAGTTCAAATAACACTTGTGAGGTACTGGAACATTATTTAATTACCCTAATTAATTGCCTCATCACAATGACTGGTTGCATTTTATATGTAATGATTATTATTTGTATATTATTATTATTTGTTATTATATAGCGGATCATTAGTTGCTCCAGTGCCTCCTTGGCATCATGTGTGTGCCAGTGAAGGTCTTCAATTGTATGCATGACATGTATGTATGCATGTGTCTCTGTTTTTTCCAGCTGAGCTGTCCTCTGTGGGGTGTTTTTGTCCATAAAGAACCAGAATTGTGGGAGGGGGTCCGGTGGGCGTATTAGACGGCAGCTGGATGGTCAGCATACAGAAAGGGTATGACGTGCATTTGGTGTTCTACACATTTTCCCAC